AACTTTGGGAGGCCAAAGTGGGAGGATTGTTTGAGGTCAAGAGTTTGAGACCACTCTGGGCAAGACAGCAAAACCCTGTTTCTACAAAAAATAAACAAATTAGCTGTTGTGGTGGTATATACCAGTAGTTTTAGCAACTTGGGAGGCTGAGGCAGGAAGACTACTTGAACCCAGGAGTTTGAAATTGCAGTGAGCTATGGTGTTACTGCACTTTATATCCTGGGAAATAGAGCAAGACACTGCCTCAAAAGAAGGTGGGGAATTGGGCAAACAGGTATTTTTGGGCATAGCTGATGGGAACATATGGGGAGGGCTATTTTGCAATACATGTGACCAAGTCTTCAAAAAGTGTGTATCTCAGGTGGCGCCTGTGGCTCAGAGGGTGGGGCACTGGCCCCATATACTGAGGGTGGAAGGTTCGAACCCCGCCAAACTGCCACAAAAAAATAGCCGGGCCTTGTGGTAGGTGCCTGTAGTCCCAGCTACTCGGGAGGCTGAGTCAAGAAAATCGCCCAAGCCCAGGAGTTGGAGGTTGTTGTAAAGGTTATATTGATTAAGTAAGATAATGTATTTAAAGTACTTAAGACAATGCTTGACATATATGTGCATAACAAATGATAGCTATTAAGGAAGCAAATATACAAAAAGGAAAATTAAACAGCTATATTGCTAATAATGAATAATACAGCAAAATAAAAAGCAGGTTACAATAAAGTATAAAGATATAACTTTTGTTTTATTACTATTAATATAGACGTGAATACATATGCATAGTATCTGTCTATATGTGTGGTAAGAAACTAAAGAATCTGTTTGGTGCCCGTAGCTCAGCGGTTAGCGCGCTGGCCACATACACTGGGGTTGGCGAGTTCAAGCTTGGCCTGCCTCTGCTAAACAATGACAACTACAACAACAACAACAACAATAGTCGGGTGTTGTGGTGGGCGCATGTAGTCCCAGCTATTTGGGAGGCTAAGGCAAGAGAACTGCTTAAGCCCAAGAGTTGGAGGTTGCTATGAGCTGTGATGGCACAGCACTCTACCAAGGGCAACATGGTGAGACTTGATCTCGAAAAAAAAGAAAAAGAAACTAAAGAATCTTTTTTTTAATGGGTGTATGTCAAAATGTTAATATTGAGTGGTAATTTCTTGGTGGTAAGCTTTTATTTCTTTTGTTTGAAATTTTCATAGTTTCTAACATACTTTAATAAGTATAGGTATATAACATCCTTTTAAGGAGAAAAAAAGCTTACATGAATTTAGGTGGTTGTATTCCTTTAGAAGAGATAGAAAATGCTTGGCTTGCTTATGTGGTCAAAGAAGAATATTTAACATAAAATTTTATTCCACAATTAAAATAATCACAAAATATAAACTTTGGCTTCATATTATGGAAACGTAAGGGTCCGAAGAAAAAAATGAAGGAGAAAGGGGACAAAGAAAGAGAGAAAAACGCAGAAGAAAAAAGGAAGGAATACAAGGGAAGACATAGAAGGAAAGATGCAGAGAAGAGAAAGTGGATGCAGAGGCAGAGACAATGCTGGAGGTTCCCTTATCAAACACCTCCATGCTAAGTACTAAATATGTATATGGTACAATTTCTGCCTTCAGAAAAATTTATGTTCTGTCTAGGTCCATAATTACCTGCCAAATAACAGAAAAAACCCGAATCCTGAAAGTGACTCACTTAAAACTAAGAGCCTATCTAAGAGTCACCAAATTATAAAAGAAGATGTGCTATATCTTGCTATCCACTTAGTTACATCTTGAAAGTTAGCATTACTTTTTGAGGTCTAATTTAACTAATTAAACTGTTCTCATGACTCTTTAGCCTAATCCTTAAAATCTGAAGGTGCTCTATTCTGAATGAGAAAGACACCCACCCACCAGGCAGGTATTTTCTTTGGACTTCAACGGAGAAATGGGAAATAAAGAGATCCAGGCACAGACAGAATTTCCTCACCACTAGTTAAGCAAAAAGAATATCAGGCTAATCGAGATAATCTCATGGTTTTTTCTAGTTCTGCTTCTCTGCAGACTAACAAAATCTAGAATCCTATGTATTTTATCTAGAAACCTGAAAAATGTCTCATGCTACTCAATTTATGCAAAGATGGCTAATCCTAGAACATTAAGTTCAAACTGAGATGTAACAATGGTGTTTAAAAGGGGAGTTATTATTTTAACCAGTTCTCAAATGCTCATAAGATTCAAATCTATGCTATGGAGCATATATCCTTAAAATCACGAACTGGCTAAAATATTATTTAATCTCATTTAATGGATGTGCTCCTGAAAAGTAGTGAATTTTGGAAAATTAAACCCAATCAAACTTTGAGAATGTTGAGAGGGTATTAAATAAGCAGTTAGTGCCCTTCATCTTTTCAAGGTCTAGAACCCTCTCCTTTAGAAAATAACATATGTGGCTCAGCACCTGTGGCTCAAGTGGCTAAGGCGCCAGCCACATACACCTGAGCTGGCAGGTTTGAATCTGGCCCAGGCCCGCCAAACAACAATAATGGCTGCAACCAAAAAATAGCCAGGTATTCTGGCGGGCACCTATAGTCCCAGCTACTTGGGAGGCGGAGGCAGGAGAATCGCTTGAGCCGGGGAGTTGGAGGTTGCTGTGAACTGTCATGCCACAGCACTCTACCCAGGGTGACAGCTTGAGGCTCTGTCTTGAAAAAAGAAAAAAAGAAAAAACAACAACAAAAAAAGAAAATAACATATGCACAGACACAAGACAAGTTCATGTAATTTCAGGAGATCTGAACCCCAAGAACTCATTATCTTAAAAGAACTGACAGTTAGGCTTGGCACTTGTAGCACAGTGATTACAGCATTGGCCATATACACTGAGGCTGGCAGGTTTGAACCCTGCCTGGGCCAGTTAAATAACAATGACAACTGCAACAAAAATACAGTGAGGCATTGTAGCGGATGCCTGTAGTCCCAGTTACTTGGGAGGCTGAGGCAAGAGAATTGCTTAATCCCAAGATTTTGAGGTTGCTGTGATCTGTGATGCCACAGCATTCTACTGATTTCGAGATTCTGTCTAAAAAAAAAAAAAGGACTCATAGTTAAGACTCTCACAAATAATCCTTTTTTTCAACAAACAAGAATTATGAGAGCCTAATTTTTGAACATTAAAAATTCATATTTTTATCTATCAGATTTATTTAAAGTGGGATTTTCACTCGGAATGCAATTTTTTTTTTTTGAGACAGAATCTCACTTTGTTGACCTCTGCAGAGTGCCATGGCATCATAGCTCACAGCAGCCTCAAACTCTTGGGCTCAAGCAATCCTCCTGCCTTCTGAGTAGCTGGGACTATAGGAGCCCAACACCATGCCCGGCTATTTTTAGAGATAGGGTCTCACTCTTGCTCAGGCTGGTCTCAGACTCCTGAGCTCAGCCAATCCATCCACCTCAGCCTCCCAGTGCTAGAATTACAGGTGTGAGGCACTGCACCCGGCCTCAGGATGCAAATTTATGGTTTATATTTTTTTTTTTT